GAACGGGGAGGGGGGGGCGAATCTCGGCTCTGGGAGATCATTAACTTGCCGGCACCGAACCCTAGACCCCACCCCCCTTCATCCGTTTCCCGAGTCTCATTAAAAAGGCAACCGCCCATCTCGGGGCCCCGGTGGTCTCAGCTGGGACCGGCCGATCCGGGGCAGGCGAAGAAAGATGCGCGGACTCGGCCGAGGGATTTCTTCAGGAGGGGGAGGCAAGAGGGGAGGGGGTTAAATGGATTAATGTATTCATTTCCCGGAGAACAATGGGGCCGTCCCGCGGGCAGGGCCGCCGGAGAGGCAGCAGCGCCCCCCCTCCAAACCATATTTGATTCGTTTTAGGTCGGTTTTCTTTCCTGCATACTTCTGTGTGCCTTATGAGTTACCCTCGCTGTTTATCTCTTGTCCGTTTCTGGAGTTATAAATTCCTCCCGTTCTTCTTGGAACTCTGGAGTTATAATGGTCTTTGTCTTAAGGATGTGAGATTGTCCTTGGTTATGGTTCTGCCATAATTCAAATCCTTCCTTCCTTCCTTCCTTCCTTCCTTCCTTCCTTCCTTCCTTCCTTCCTTCCTGTTTCCGACCCCGGACCTTTGCCATATCGAAGCCAGCGCTCCTGAACGGATTTGCGTGGTTGTGTTGCTTTGCAGGCGAGGAGCCCGACTGATTTGCGCCGCTACAAGGGAGGCGCAGAACCGCCCCTTGTTTTGATTGCCGCAAAGACGTGCCCCCTCCCCACCTCCTTTTTGAAGTCGTACAAAATATTTGTATGTATTTTGAATATACATTTCAAACTTCTCGGCTCGCCTTTGATACGATCTCTCCCTGACTTGAGCGGGAGCGAGAGAGACAGAGCTGTTGAGCTCTTAAGATCAGTCGCGAAAACAGCCTTCCTGGCTTCTTTTTGTTTTTCATGCCGGATTTCCTTCACTATCAATCTTTAAGCCCCTGAATAACTCGATCGCCTTTTGGAAAAAAAGAGGGGGGGGGAGAGAGCGGCCCAGCCGTCTTTCTTCGCTACGATCAGCCGCTCAGATAATTGGGAGCGCCTTACCCGGAGAACTTAACATCGACTCGATAAGAAAATCTCCTTCAGACGGGAGATTAGAGTCCAGTCAGGCAGCCAGGCCGCCGTTTGATGGGAATCCTTTTCAATAACGACCCAACTCCAAAGATTCTTGTAATGAATAGGAACTGAATTCCAAGGTGGCGGAATAAACATCACCCGCCAGTTGCGGGGTGTGTGTGTGTGTGCGCGCGATGTGTGAATGCAAGAAAGCGCAGCGAACAGAATCCAGATCCTCGAATCCCAGGGAAAGGCCTTCTTCCAACCTGGAAACCTCTCAACATTCCTATTTACAGTCAACATTCCATCTTTTCTCAACATTCCTATTTTCATTCATTATTCCCATCTTCTCAACATTCCTATTTTCGGCGCCCCCTTTTTATGCCCCCAGAGAGCGGCGACCCTGAACAACGCAGCGTAGAAAAACAAAGCGTGAAAACAGTCTTTCAAAACCCCAAAAGGGGAAAGCGGTGTATAAAACAGCGAGGTTCAATTGACGAAGGAGGATCTGGGTTTTGGGGGGAATTAACAAGCGGCATACGATCAACGCGCCATTCGTGAATCTGCAGGTTAGTCTCCGTCGCTCTCAAAGGCCCTTACTCCCAAGAAGCGCCGCAGCCTAAAGCGATGGAGACCTCTGACTTTGTGGATCGGGTATTTAAAAAAGCAACGCCGGGAAGGAAAACGGAGTCGCTTGGGGGCCGCGTTAGCAAAGTGGACGGGCAGGGAGCTGTCCATTTCAGCACCACCAGCTTGGCTTTCCGCGGCCGCTCCCGTTTGGGTATCTCTAGCGCGTCCGCTTTCCCCTGCGTTTCAAACTCCCCTATTCCGCCACCGGCCTATCTCGCGTGTCAAGTTACTTCACAACGTCTCTCACACACGTTCAGATCAACACTCACACCTTTCACGTGTCGCCACGGCGGGCTTCCACGGAACAAAAACTCAAAGGCGGCGGAGAAACGAACGACGCAATGAAGGGACCGATTCGAAATCCTCCCGGGGGGCGGGGGGGGGGCGGGGAAGCCTGCTGGCTTCGAAGTGGACCCCCGTCTATGCCAGTGGAAATACCCACAAGCAGTGTTCCCTCTAAGCTGAGTTAGTGTGAGCTAGCTCACAGTTTTTTAGCCTCCGGCTCACACATTTTTGTCTTTGCTCAGGAAGGACGGCTCCAGAGCCAACTGATTTATGCAGCAGCCAAATCGCTGGCTCACAACTTTAATGTCAGTAGCTCCCAAAGTAGAATTTTTTGCTCACATGTCTCCACAGCTTAGAGGGAGCAATGCCCACGAGTGAGCCCCTTCCAAGTAGCGTGTTTGGGACTGGGCGTGTTAGACAAACGGCCGTCGGTCTACCCGGTGAAAATACCCATTCCACGCCATTAGAGAGAAGAAATGAATAACATACACACTGCTGACCACTGGACTTCATAATGAATGGTCGGAACGAATAAATGCCACCTCTAGCACGCAAATAAGACCGGGTTCCTGTCGAATTCTAATCCACACCCATAACATTCGCTCTCCCCTTAGTGCTCTGTAAGGGAATCGAGTTTCCTTTGGCGTAGACTTCAGATGTGTGTGTGTGTGTGTGTGTGTGTGCATATATATATACACACACACAAACGTATGTATGTATGTATTTCCAGAAAAAGACACCAAAGGAAACACGACGCCCCGGCCCCCACGCAGTTCACCTCTCGATCTTAATTCTGAAAACAGTTCGCTTTCCCGACTGGGCTTCTGTTGTTGTTATTCTTTCCCCCATATTCTATCCGATCCAACACGAGCTTGACTACAAAGCCAGCGCCTCCCTCTGAAGTCCCAGATCGCTGTGATCTCATGCCAGCGGATCCCTTCACCTCCTGCTTTTAGGCGGCGACCGGAGAGTTATGGCGTAAATCCTACCCCCCCACACACACACACTCCTCCCAATCCAGCCTTCTAATCATTTCAGACGGGCGTAGAAACCAGACCGAGATCGCTTTCCTTGTCGACTTCGACCGCTGCTGCCTTCCTGCCTTTAAACCGCCTCCACGTTTAGTTCAACTTCCCTGCGGAGCCTTCGAGTTCTCCCCACACGCAGACACACAAAAGTCCCAACTAACTGGGCTGCTTAGTCTGCAGTCACTTCGAGGCATAAGAACGTCAGAGAAGCCAATGTTGGATCAGGCCAATGGCCCATCCAGTCCAACACTCTGTCACGCAGTGGCCAAAAAGACCCCAACGAAATAGGGAAGGCAAACGGGGGAGAAATATGACAGTGGGCAGAAAAATACACCTTTCTCCTGTCTGTTCTCTATAGATTAACCCGATTGCACCAGAGAATAAAGACTGTCCTCGAAACATCAGAACGCGCCGTTGTGTTTGACGGGGCTTCTTCTCTATAGCTGATTTCCAAGACTTCTTATCTCAGTACTCTGGGGGGGGAAACCAAACGGGGGGGGGGGTAGACAGCAGTGTTCCCTCTAAGCTGAGGAAGTGTGAGCTAGCTCACAGTGTTTTTTTTAAAGCCCCCGGCTCACACATTTCTGCCTTCGCTCAGGAAGGATGTCTCCAGAGCAAAACCAATGTACGCAGTGGCCAAACCGCTCGCTCACCGCTTTAATGCCAGTAAACTCACAAAGTAACATTTTTTGCTCACAAGACTCCACAGCTTAGAGGGAGCATTGGTCGACCAGGCCTCGCTCCTTTAGAAAAGCGATGGTTTGGATCGGAGATCCCCTTGGCTACCTAGGAGTGCATTTTTAAAAGACGGGCGGATAAGACAGCTGTTATTATTAAAAATGGGATTAAAAAAAACAAATAGTTTTGCAATTCGCTTACCTCTCCTTATGACTCCGCCTTGGCCGTTCAGCACCAGCCCACACTGGGCCTCCACCGAGCCCTTGAAAAGAGAACAGCGAAAGAGAATTAGAGTTAAAGTGGAATAAATGGCCCGAAGAGCCTCGAAGAACTTGTGGGAAGAAGACTTTGCGTTCTGACTGCGGTCGAGGTTTTTACGACGCGGGTATGGAATTTTACATGCCTCCCCAGATCGCTCCCTTACGAAATCCCCTTAAAAAAAGAAAAAAAGAAAGAAAAAAAGTGGTCTTGTATATTTCAGAACCGCGGGAAGGGACAGCTCCCTCTCGGAAGAAAGAATCCGTTCCCCCTGTTCTCAGAGAACGACGATCTTTTGTTTTGGTGATTGACAGACAGAAAGAGGAAGCCAGAGAAGTATGGACTGACAAACGGGGGGGGGGATGTCTTGGCGGGGAGAAAGAAGAATTATTATTCTCAGAAATGAATTCGATGACATATCCGTAGGAAACCCGCCCCTCCCCGTTGCAATTTATCGCGCAGAGATCTCAACCTCGTTCTGTTAAGTGCCCCGTTCGTGTTTCTCAGAATTAGTGTCAGGTTGTTAGAAACAAGAAGCGTGAAGCGGGAAGACTTAGAGACGGGGCTCTGAAGGTACACGGCATTTTGCTGGGTGTTCCCAAGATAGCTCGCTGATCGACAATGCCCTCAAATGGCCTACGGAACCGCGGCAAACGGTGAGGGTTGCCCCATCGACTTTGAATGGGATGCGGATTTGAGGATTTGCGGATCTGCGCTCGTCCGTATCCCAAGGATTCAGCTCACCCCAAAGGCCAAACGTTCCCTCTCCAGGTGGTGAGCGCCCTATTCTGGGTTTTCGATACTGGTCGGGAATGACAATTCTTTACCAAAAAAAACCCCAACCTAAAATAAAAATCGAAATCTGCCTTCCCCTCGATGAACTTTCCTCGTGATGCGAACCTCTAAATCCTTTTTGCACCGTGGCAATGTGTCAAAAGAGGGCATTTTCCTTTAACAAACAAACGAGGGTTGGGGGGGACATGAAAGAGACCTTTAAGGGTGTTAACCTATTCAACAGCCCGTGAAGAGTTAAGTGCATGCAGAGAAAGAGTTGGTGCATGATAATTTAAAAAAAGAAAAGAAAAGAAAAGAAACTGCTTCTCACACACGCACACGAAATCTTTACAAGTCTTCCTCAGCGCCTTGGTTCTGGCCATATTGAGGCTGGCCAGGGCGGGGGGAACCCTCCCTTTTCCAGGCCTCTTTTGAGTTTTAAGTGTTCTGCCTTAAAGTGATTATGAAATCAATATGGAGAAAAACTGGGCGACTGAGCATAAATTAAAGCGCTGACGGGAAAAGGTGTGACAGTTCTCTTTGTTGCCCATGGAAAATCTTTTTAGGGGACTCAAAGATGCCCATTCCGGCTCCAGCACTCCTTGCATCTGTTCGGCTGACTTAAACAGCCTCCCGAACGCCGGGACCTTCACTTAACATTCTGAGCAGGGGGGAAAGTATATTTACATTTGTTGCATTGGGAATGAGGCATATGTTGATAAAGAAAGTCGACCGGGAAGGGGAGGTGAGGGGGCGAGAGGAGGCGAAAAGACTGGCCGGGAAGGAGGCGTCAAGCCTCCCCTGCTCTTTCCGTAGGTCGGGGAAACAAAAACGACGACGACGACACAACAGACTCGCTCTAAACCTGCAAGGTGAAATTAACCAGCCTTTTCCAAGGTGAAATTAACCAGCGTGAAATTGACCAAGCGTTTACAAGGCGAAATTGATAAGCCTCCCTCCCCTCCAGGTGAAATTAACAAGCCGGGAGAGTCAAGCAAACCAGCCCGGAAGAATTTAGGGAGCGTGTTTGTTTGTTTGTTTGTGTCCCAACACATTCGCCAAACCTCACGACGCCTTAAACGCAAAAGAGAGGGGGGAAACACCTTAGGTCGCCTTCATTATGCCGAACCGAAAAGAGGTCACCATGTGTGGCACCTTAAAGACTTCACGCGCGTTAGTTAATACAGGGAGAATCTCGCGGGTCGCTACGGTGCTACTGGACTCGAACCTCAGCGTTCTCTCTTTTGATTTTTTTGGGGGATATTTTCGATACAGCTTTGGAGTCTCAGAAAGGATCGCAAATAAAGTTCTTTTTAAAAAGGGGAGGGAGGTGTCTGTGTATCTATTTATAACGAGTCCCTTCAAATCTGTCTGCCCTCCGGTACTTGGGATGGGGGGGGAGGGCGGGCGGAGAAGGAGGGCCGGAGCCAAACGCGTTGTTTGGTCGGATGACATCGCATAAATGACCAGTTGAATGGCGCTAAGTCGAAAATTGGATAAACTATGGTGCTTTTTCTTCGCCCGGGATTTAGGCATTGTCCGCCGACTCGCAAACGTCCCTAATCCCTTCTTTTGAGGGAGAGGGGGGAAAATACACGCCTTTGTGCGGGGCGTCGGGGGAAAAAAATGTACAACTAAAAAAAGAAGAAGGAAGAAGAAATCAGCCGCAGACGCGGTTATATATCTATAAAAGGAGTAAATAGGTCTTATTGAAAGTAGAAAATCGTGCCAAGGGCTTGGAGATGGAAAGTCAAGTTGGAGGGAAACTGTTCCTTACGGGCCCCCGTTGATCTCATCCTTGGGTCCCTAATCCAATGCTCCCTCTAAGCTGTGGAGTCTCGTGAGCCAAAATCCTACTTTGTGAGCTGCTGGCATTCAAGTGGTGAGCGAGCGATGCGGCTGCTGCGTACATTAGTTTGCTTTGGAGCCATCTTTCCTGGGCTAAGACAGAAATGTGTGAGCCGGAGGCTAAAAACCTGTGAGTTGGCTCACACTAACAGCTTAGAGGGGACACTGGTCCCTACCTAGGTGAGCGGAGGGGCCTCTTTCTGCGCAGATCCTGACATCTCACCTTGTCGAGAGAGAAGAAGCTCGCTTTGGCGCGGAAGGGAAGAGAATTCCGAACCGGAACCATTCCCCCCCCCCAGGAGGAATTTTCCTCCATCAACTCGATGTCCTGCGTGCAAAGAGAGCCAAGCCCAATACCGCTCCCTGAACCCCGACGCCCAACCTGATGGATAAGGAGCAGTGTTCCCTCTAAGCTGAGCTAGTGTGAGCGAGCTCACGGTTTTTTAGCCTTCGGCTCACACATTTTTGTCTCATTTCAGGAAGCAGGGCCCCAGAGCAAGCTAATTTACGCAGTACCAAATCGCTGGCTCACCACTTGAATGCCAGCAGCTCACAAAGCAGAATTTTGGCTCACAGGTCTCCACGGCTTAGAGGGAGCATTAAGGAGCTCTCTCCTTCGGCGTCTTTCTTCCAGGCTCAGAACTTTTGAATTCGATAAGACTTTAAAAAAAAGAAAAGGAGGGTGCGTTGGGGGGGGAGGGGGGTTAGAAACAAATAAACAGATGGCCGCAAAAAGGGGACGCGGCCAGGGAAGGCGAGGGACGCAAGTAGGTAGATGCGATACAATGGTGGGCGGGAAGAAATGGATTCCTTGGCCGAAGGGAACCCGGGCTGGCCTGTGAGAACAGATCTCTCTCGCCTGGGGTTGCCCTGTATCGCCTCATCCTCAGCACCCTCGAAATACCAGTCAGCGGTCACCCACACGAAATAACCCGCTTCCAATCCGTTTGCAGTCCCCTTCCCAGCTAGATCTTGCCAACCCAGGAAGTCAAATCCAGACGGAAAGGGAGTGGGAACCGGTTGTTTTCACGTGGGCCACCGCAGCTGTACATGCAGGTGTGCGCAAGTGCGATCAAGCCCGCAGCCGATTTCTGGCGACCCCCGCAAGGGGCTTTCACGGCAAGTGATTACGGCAGAGGTGGGTGGCCGTGGGCCTGCCTCCACCCAAGCCTTTCTTCCCGACCCTGCTTAGCTTCGATGGGGATCAGGGGCTATATATACCAGCTGCCTTCTCTCTCTCTCTCTCTCTCTCAAAATGATCTGAATGGGCCGGGCCTTCGTCCGTCTTCGTTTTCAGGAAGGCGGGAGGGTTTTTTAAAGGAAGGGATCGCCTTTAGGAAAGTTCGTCGGTGAGGCGTCGCCCCCCCCCCCTTCCGCCTTGGTGCCAGGGCGCGGCCTGCAGGTGACCAGTTAGTGGGGCCCGCACGACTGTCGCTCCTTCGGGCTGGGTTGCCCCCCCCGGTCAGGACCTGTGTTCCCTCTAAGCTGAGTCAGTGTGAGCTAGCTCACAGGTTTTTAGCCTCCGGCTCACACGTTTTTGTCTTAGCTCAGGAAGGGATGGCTCCAGAGCAAACTCATGGATGCAGCAGCCAAATCGCTCGCTCACAACTCGAATGCCAGGAGCTCACAAAGTAGGATTTTGGCTGACAAGACTCCACAGTTTAAAGGGAGCGTCGGTCAGGGCTCACAAATCCCTCTAAGCCGAGTCAGTGTGAGCCAGCTCACAGGTTTTTAGCCTCCGGCTCACACGTTTTTGTCTTAGCTCAGGAAGGGATGGCTCCAGAGCAAACTCATGGATGCAGCAGCCAAATCGCTCGCTCACAACTCGAATGCCAGCCTTGCCAGGAGCTCACAAAGTAGGATTTTTGCTGACAAGACTCCACAGCTTACAGGGAGCGTCGGTCAGGGCCAGTGTTCCCTCTAAGCTGAGTGAGTGTGAGCCAGCTCACAGTTTTTTTAGCCTCTGGCTCACACACCCATATATATATATATGTTTTGCCTTAGCTCAGGAAGGAGAGCTCCAAACTGATTGACGCAGCAGCCAAATCGCTCGCTCCCGACTTGAACGCCAGTCGTTCCCTCGGTAGAATGTCTGCTCACAGGACTGAACAGCTTAGAGGGAGCATCAGGGTTTAGGCGGGTCGGCCCGGGGGCGACGGGGCGCAGGAGCGGGGTGGGGTGGGGGTGAGATTGCCATTTCTAAAAAAAAAAAAAAACACCCTGGTTACCTGAAGATCGTCGGCTCCCGAGGCGGCCAGGCCCAGGCTGGGTCCGGGCAGGAGTCTCTGCTCGGGGTGCATGCCATACTGGGAGCCGTGGCTCATGAGCGACAGGTCGTGGCGGCGGTAGGCGTCGAGGCAGCCGAGCTCCCGCCGCTGCTCATCCAGGCAGGACGACTTGAGGGCGCGGGCGTTGTGCAGGTTGATGAAGTCGGCCGGCTCGCCATGGTGGATCTGCTGGTAGTACTGCTGCGAGTGGTGGAGCGAGTTCAAGGAGTAGGCGTCCGGCGTGACGGCCGGGTGGCTGTGCTGGAACTCGTAGTGGAAGGACTGGTGGTGGAGGGGGGTGTACTGGTGGTTGGTGGAGAAGTAGGGGGAGGCGAACTCGGTGCCGGTGGTGGAGTAGGCGAGCGGCGAGGTGGAGGAGTAGGCGACGGTCGAGTTGGCCACCGACTCCAGGCAGCCCAGTTGCATCAAACGGTAGCTGTTGGATCCGTCGTGACGTATCTGCAAGGGAGAAGGGAGGAAGAGGTGACCCCGATCCGGCGGGTGGGACATGGGGGACGGCGGCTCTCCCGGACAGCCCTCGCCCGCATCGCCCGACCCCTAGCCGGGCCGTCTCCGGTCGGAACGGGCGCCATGGAAGTTTCCCCAGACGGGTGCCATGCGGGGCTCTGTTGCTACTCGGTTGTGTTTTTTTTTAAAGGGGGGGGGGAGGAAGAGAGAGACATGCAGAGAAAGAGAGAGAGCCCTACATATGCAAGCCGGGAGTCCGCACCGTCCAGGAAGCGAGCCGCTCCTTCGAACTGCGCGATCGTGCGCAAACCACCCCAGTTGTAAGCGCTCCGGGCCGGTGCGCGCAAAAGGCGACCTCCGATCCTCCTACGAGCCTAACCCTCGCTCTGTCCTTCCAGAAGAGGCACAGCCCTTCCGGACCCCCACCCGCCTTCCACCCATCTCGGTTGATAACACCGAGGCGCTCCCCGTCCAAACGAATCTCTCCTTCCCTCCACGCGAGTGAGCGTCTTTCCTCGGCGCCCCCCCCCCCACCCCCTCCATTCCCCGAGATTATCGGGACACGGAGTCGCTTTTCGTCCCTGCGCCCGTTTGAACGCGGCCACGGGGCTGCCCTCGTCGACGGCGACAGATGTCATAACGAATTTTCGCCGTCCCCTTTCCCCGAGTCCTCGCTGTCTCTCTCGGAAGCCGGATTATCATTAAACCTAACGGCCCGATGCGGATTAAGGAAGGGAGGGGAAAAAATGGAAAACCTCTCTCTCACACACGACGGCACATACACACTCTGTGTGTGTGCGCGCCCGTGTGTGTGTATCTCTCTCTCTCTCACACACACGCACACACACAGGCGCCTAAGCAGAGAGACACACGCGCGCACACGCACACACACACACCCAGATACACGCGCGCACACACCAAAATACCTCCGCATCGTGGACCAGTCCTGGGAAAGTCGTTGACATTGTGGGTTCGCCGTCAAACGCTCCGGATCCAAGCCCTTCTCCGATTTTTTATTTTTTTTTAAAAGGAGAGCACACAAAAAAGCACCACACAAAGCCGCAGACCCACAATAGTTTCTCTTTTTAAAAAAAAGAAAAAGAAAAGAAAAACCACGGGGTAAAAAAACACACACAAAAAGTCCACTTCCCCGCAGATCCGGGGGGGAAACGGTATATATTTATCCCTATCAAGCGCACCCTTCTCTGTATCCCTAGAATATTTCTCTCCTAATCACAAAGAGACCACGGGCCCGCGTCCGTCTAGCATTGCGGGCCGGCTTCCCTCGTCTCTTCCCCGCACACCCTTTTTCGCGAAAAAACCGGGCGGAACAATTTCCCCCCTCTGCACAAAAGCCGCTCTCCGGTTCAGATTTTGTACTTGCTGGGTATTTCTTTGGCTGATGTCGTAGGTCCCTTGGTAATATAGAAGTTTTGAAAATTAAGCATCAGCACTGCGAACTGGGGAGGACAATAGATAGAGCGGCTCCATCCCAGGAGACAAGGAATAAATATTGTATCTTCCCCTAATAAGGAACTGGAGTTTCTTTCAACGTTTTTCTACATTTTTTCCCTCCTTCGCTCTTTTCCGAACGGGGTTTTTTCTTTTCTTTCTCTCTCTCTCCCCCCCCCCCCTTAGCCAGGCTAAATGGGGAGACCTGATACCTTCCAAAACAGGCCTTTTTAAAAGACAGATTTTTATTGGGGGAAATCAAACAGACAGATGCTAGATTAATTTCCCCAGCCTGTTCTTCGATAAGGAAACGTCCTTTCTCTTCGGTTGTATGGTTGTTGTTGTTGTTGGGTTTGTTTTTTTTAAAATTGGAATACTGACCTACAAGAGAATATTTGGGTTGTAGGAAACTGGATTCTCTGTTGTGTGTGTCTCTGGATTCTCTGGTGTGTGTGTGTGTCTCACTCTGAATGAAAAGCAACGCGTTCAGATGTTTCTTTTCAACGGAAGGAGAGATGGGGTTTATCCCGGCATCTCCAACAAGCCCAGTTCTTTAAGACAGGGTGACTCGAGATGAAATTACACCTGGTTTTTGTTTTTTGTTTTTGAACGGGCGTTTCTAAGGAAGGACTTCTCGGGTGCCCCGAATGCTTTTCCTTGTGACATACGGAAAGGGGGAACGATTCCGGCGGCGTTTGTGCGTTTACACACGGACTCTCCACAGCTCCTACCCGGACAACTTTGTCGATCTCGGAGATCAGTCTAGCTATTTATGCACACACACAGACACACACAACGCGATTGTGAACACTGAACGACACGGGTTCCCTGGACGCCGGGGCAACGTCAGGGTGTGTGTCCACGTGGGGTTTCTTTGTCGGGAAACTGAGGCACGGCCCGGGAGAGCTGGGGAGGGTTCCAGATTGCGCGGGGTTCCAAACTTCCCGTTATCTCCAGAGTCCCCGTCAGGCCGGAGACACGGGTCCGAGAGGCTGGCTCGGCGTTCTGACGCGATATCTCCAACCCGAGTTGTCTCCCCCTCCCTCCCCCTCCCCGGATCTCCACCCAGGCTGGGGAGCTGTTGCTCTCTAGGCGCGCTCCCCACCCCCGACCAACTGGCACCGCCTGTCCGCGCGGCTCCCCGCCGAGGCCGACTGGAGACTGCTGCCAGCGGTGGTGGGGATCGAAGCCCGGCTCGGGCGCGCTTAATTGCCCGTTCATTCGGGGCGCTTTTAAGTGTGGCGCAAACGCGAAGGTGTCTTAATAAGAAGCCGTCGGCAAAGAGACATGTGGGGCGAGTTCTCTCTCTCTCCCCCCTCTCCTTAAAAAAAAAGGAGTCCAGCTTGGGGAGGGTTTCTTCTTGGTATCCGCTCAGGCGAGCGCGCAAGAGCTGTCATTCAAGCGCGCTTGGCTTTATACAAATGGACAAAGGCACACGACTCGCATTGAAGCGCATTGTCTGAAATGGAAAAGTGCGATTATCCAGACGGGCGCAGGGGTCAGCGGCGAACGGCTCGGCCTCTCTCTCTCTC